GGGGTCCTCTCAAACTGCCTGCAAGGCAACAAGCAATGGTGTTATTGGCTTATTCTCTCTACTCTTCCCAATTCATGGTGCCCTCAGAGAAAGTCTTTGTGCCTATTAATGGGACCAGAACATCTTTACAATTTAGTCGTGTGACTCCAGACATGCATCAAAAATTTGGAGTTCTAGAGCCTGGCTCAGGGCTACCCAAATACTCCCCTTGCTGCAAGGCTTAAGCGTGAGAGAGTGTTCATCATGAAAGAGAACCTCAGCAGGAAAGGATAAGCAGAAGGGAAAGATTTGGGGGCTCAGAATATGAGGGGGTTAACAGTAAATTATTGTAAAACAGTTTTTGGCATCATCACATTTTCTCACCTGGTTGACATGAAAGCAAGGTTGATTCTGTAGGCACAAGACAAAGTGATGGTGCCCACTGGGGTACCCACTGTCCCAACACGAACTGTCTGGAAACCTGTAAAGTTAAGGAATAATTATCAGTTTCACTGATTATTTATATGCTGTACTTTTTTATTCTGAGGTTACACTATCTTATTTCAGTAGTGTTTCCATTATCTCTTGCAATCTGAACTCCAAAAACACACATAGAACCCATAATAAAACAGCAGCACTAGGTTGCCTTGCTGGTAGGCTTCACCTGCAAGGCTTCTGATGTTGCTTCCTGGCTTCTTGGTCTAAAATATTGTTCTGAATAGAACACTACTTGTTCCTCAGTAGATCATGATCTCCTTTACCAGTCCTACACCTTATCAACATCATTCCATGTTCTTATTTCAGTTCTGTATCACTAGAGTCAAAACGGCAATCACCCAAGACTTTGTCCAAGTACCACCATTATACTTATCACCTTGTGGCACAAGGCTGCACTGGAAGATGCAGACAAAGAGCATATGTAAGCCTCATACTAATTTTCCTTACGGTACTTGGGAATAGCAATCAAAAGGTAGTCAAAATGAAACATAGTTCTGCTCTTGTTTGTGTGTTACCTTCTCCCAAGCCACTCAGCTGGACTTCACCAAAATATATCCTGAAGGAAAAGGAAAAAGAAAAGCTGTTAGATCCAGCTGGGACATAATGCTATATATATATACATATATCCTTATTCTTTATTTAATTTTGGTATTTGAAAGGCTGGAACTCTTTTCCTCTTCAGGAAAAAAGAGCCCAAACTAAATGGCTGGAATGCCCATCTCAAAAAACCTTACAGTTGCTTCAGAAGAAGAACAGGTCATGTAAAAAGAAGGAGAAAGAGAAAACGGTAGTCCAATCAGAAATTTCTCTTTAAGTTTTTTAAGCCTCTGTGGTTAAGTCTACAGTTCAGAGAAAAAATGTGAAGTGATACAAACTTCACAGAGAGGTCTAAAAGCTGATGCTCATCACGTAACTTAAAAGATTAACTGTGCTGTAAAGAGACCTGCTCTTAAGTACATGCCAAGTCAGCAATGGAGGCAAAAATGAGAAAATGGCTGGAATTTCTTTTTGAGTTCTCAACTGTGCAAATGATAACAAACCTGAGATTTACAATCATATAATTTAGCTATGCAAACATGTCAAAGCCTTTTCTCAAAGCCAAAAACAGGGTCTGGAAGATAACTGTGGTCCACAAGCCAGTCAGATTCACAGGCTAAACAGAGCTGAACCCCAGTATTTGAATGAGTAAACTGCAAGAACTACAGGAAGTGAAGTTGAGGATGCATCTTTAAAATGGAGTAATAGGAGAGAGTCTGAATCCATGCTGCAAAAGTACACATTGCAGCTATGTGCAATGTTTAGAGGCATTTATGAAACACAGGCCAGACACCAAACAATTGGATGCTAATAAGCAATTTAACCAGGGATTGCATGTGGAATTTTTTTTTTTACTCTTTCTGACATGGTAGGCAAACATCTCACAGCTTTTCTTTCCATGGCTCAAGTGAAGGCTATAAGGTGATACATAGACCAAAGTTTTCTTCTGTCACTGATCAGTAGTAGTTCTATGCAAACAATTTGATTTTATTATTATTTATCCATTTTTAACTACATTTGCAGCTACACTGCAAGTCTAGAGTCTCTGCTGTTTACATTTCAAATGGGAAAATTCTGCTTTACCTGTACAATATTACATATTCATGGCCTTGTTTCCTTGAGAGTCTGTAGGCTGGAGTTACTCTGGTTATAGCAAGCAAAGACTTCAGCAGTAGAGACAGCCTGTTGTATACAGTGTATGAAACTTTGATTTCTTTGTCACACCTAAAGAACACAAAGGAAAAAAAAAATTAGTCTTTTGCCCACAGCTAAGTTTCCTGGGTTTGGGGCTCTTGTTTATTTTGGTTTGCACTTGCTTTTGTTTATTTTATTTTAAATAAAAGTTAGTCAGGAGCAGTTGTTTAATTTTATTGCCAAAATGATAAACCAGTGTGGTTACCTGTACTTACCAACCAGCTAAGAGTCCCACTTCAACCTAGTCACCTACTGTAGAATAAATTGCTGAAAAATGCCATGCAGCCTTCTACTAAACAGAGACATTTTTTCAATACTAAAAAACATTTGTTATTACTCAGACTGTGAATTCTTGTATCTAAGGAAACCTACTAGTTGTAATGGAAGGACGAAGAAGGAATTAAATTACTAGTTTGCTTTCTTGACACTGGTGTTAAAACAGTTTGACTGCTGCCCTAGACAAAGGGGGGAGTTCCCTCTGAAGTGCCCCTGGCCACACAGCCAGTATGTGCTCATTGAGCACCATGGATTAACCACATGTATATCTCATCAGCTAAAAACTACAAACACGAAGAATGTGTGAAGAATGCACTTACTTTTCATTCATTTCTAGACACCAAATTTCCAGCTCCATGGAGTCCCCCTGGATCAGAGAAAAGGTGGCAAATAAAGTCTCATTTCAGAACACAGACCTTTTCAAATCTCATTAGTGATCAGCAATGGCTACACCTCTCAGTGGTTTATCTCCTGGCTCCCACTTTCTTGTGATGCAACGATAGAAAAAGGTGCACTGGAAGTGTACCTGCACAATTATGTCACCTGAGGGAAGACCTTCCTCAGAATGCCTAAGTTCTTCATGGTCTAAGAAATTAGTTTCTTAAAATTTAAGAATTCATTAATTTAATTTTCTTAAAATTAGTTTCTTAAAAAATTCAGATTTTGCTCTCTGTCATTTGTGTGTTCGGCCTCAGACTTTTGCAATGAATTGCTTCTGTTAAACAATACATTTCTTTTCCTCAGCTTATCACCTAATGTAATAACAGTTAGATATTCTTACATTGTCTTGGAATGAAGGGCAGGAGTTCTGGTAGTTGACTTAAGATTCAGGCTAAAAAGCCCACAAACAAAAAAAAAAAGAGGGCATCTGTTTTGACTCAGTTCTCACCTCTGAGGTTTTGAGAGAAATCTCCACGCACATAGACCGTCCAACAGCGGGCAGCTGTCCTGCCAGGGCTTTCTTTGCTTCATGAGTAACCTCTGGTATATCTTTGATTGCCAAATTGAACTGCAGAATCAAAGAGATGGTTCCATTTTTTTTATTTCTTTGAAAAACTGCTTGATGGTACATTTCAGACAGGCTCACAGACCCATATATAACATAGTAGGTCAGTGTCCACTGAAATATTTATGAAACAGAAAATTTCCAGCTGGGTTCAAGCTTTTCATATTTACAAAGATTCCCTTGGCTGCTAATTCAAATGTTTTTCTTGATCCTGCTCTAAAAAATATGCTGCTTTTCCCTCAGTTCAGTCATGTCTTCACCCACAGAGTATCTTGAGTCTTTTCAATTTTAATAAACCCCATTACTAAAAATTCCTCATGTGCAGAGTAGCAAACTTCTGACAGGTAAGAACTCATTACCCCATCCCCAAGCCAATCTTGGAGATGTGCCTTAGCTGGCAGGAGTTGCTGAGAGGCATCATTTCTCTTACCCCTCATCAGCATGTAAGAGTCCAGAGCGATTTGCTGCACGTGAGCAACAACCACCAACCCCTCCCCCCCTCCAAGTCGGGCCTGGACAATTACTTGTACTGTCTGGAACAGAAAGAAAAGTTTTGGGCTCAGCACAGCCCCCAGTTCAGAGCCTGAGCTACACAAGCTCCAAGTGAAAGAAATGAAAGGGCTGACTAGGATGTAGAGAAGTAGAGTTTGCTACCCTGTTCTTCATTTCTAATCAATTTCAATTATTACATTTAACAGGCAAATGTATTTCAGAAAGAAAATTATTTTAGGCTGACCTTTCTCTGTAACAACATTAAGAGACTAAGTCAATTTTGCAATCAGAATTTGCAGTTTTCAGTAGAAAATTAGAAGAATTTACAAAAATATCCCAAACCTGGACAACTAAACTAAAGCCAAATGAATCTGTACATTTATACCAAAGCCATTGTCAGATTATCTACTTGCACCTATGCCTGAAGTGAGGCCACATTTTATAATTACACACCAACAATATTCAAAAGAACATTCTGGTGTTGTTGTTTTTGAATGCAATATAAAAATTTAGATAGGCTGAAAGAGCGGAGTCCAGCAGAATAAACTACCCAACAGCTGGGTGGTTAGACATGCTGCTAGAAACCCAAAGCTGACAGAGGTGTAAAGTGCCTAACTGATTCTAAAGCAGCATGCTTCTGGAGGATGGAAGATGATTTGAGGGTAAAAAAAAAGGGGAAAAGATGCTTTTCTGGTTGCTCTCAGGAATCTCCTAAATTGGACATCAGCTTTTCTTCCTTTGTTCTTCAGCAAAATGAAACAAAACAAAAAACCAACAAATCCAAATCTCAATCTTGTTACTCTAACCACACCAAGTACGTTGTTTGTTTTTTGGATTTTTTAAACAAGGAAGAAGAGGCATTTGTCCAAAGGAAAACATATTACCTTTAAAGCAAAAAATTTGATGAACTTGTCCAGGTCCTTCCTGTCCTGGGAACTGAGATCAGTGTCCATTGCATATGGCAATCTGAAATATAGCACAGGTCTAGGAATGAAGTCTTCCTCCAGCTTTCTGTTTAGATTTCAAAATATTTTTGCCATTAGAGGCCACCTCAAAAGAAATGATAAGCAGCAAAGCAAAAGAAATGATAAGCACCAAACCTGTCGAAATCCAAACATGCTAAAAACTTTGGGATGTGAGTGGGAGGTATAAATGTGCATTGATAGTTTATCTGGTCAGTGCAAAGATCAAAAAAAAAAATTTAAAACAAAGAAGCCTCAAAAATAAAACTCAGTACCAGTTCTGCAATTTCGCTAGCTTAATTTAAAAAAGCAAAACAAAAAAAAAAACCAACTTGGAACACCCCAACACCACTGACTGCATTCTATGCCAAGCTAACCATCAGACATGGAGGTCTCTAATTCAAAAATAATCTATCTTCAGCTATCAGCACTGGTTAAAACCAAGCCGAATTGTTCTCTTGGGCCTGAATTTCTCAGAACAGTATTTCAGCAGAAATGTATAAAATAAACCATTGCTGGGTCAGGCTACACTGCTTCTTTACTTTCAACAAATAGTACTATACAGCTACAAAATTTACCTACAACCAACTGGAAAAACACATTTTTGTCAAGAAATAGACCAAAATCCTCTGTTCACTTCTCTTGAAATCTCTGATAATAAATACTTAGCTTTCACATTGACACTGCCTTGTTTTTCAAAATACAATTGTTTCTAGGCACACAATGAACTTGCACGGCGTCTGAAGCAGGGCAGGGCAAGGCAATAATCCTATTTCTGCCACCATCATGTCACATGGCCTGGGATAAATCACAATTCTTCTGTCTCTCAGTTTCTTCACACATAAGTTAATAACCATATAGAGACCACTGGGGGAAGAATGCCTTAATTAGCAACATTCATTATAGTTTTTGCTTATAAGCTTCAAAGTATTAATTCACCCTGAACCCCTGTTGCAGTTTTGAGACAGCTAATCAGCCTGAAGCAGCTTGTCAAACATCCCATATTTATGGAACATGCTGCTCCTCACAGGAACACTGAGGTCAGGGAGCAGAAGCAGCTGCTGTGCACGTTACTCAGTGTTCAATCATTAAGCAAAGTCTGAACTTACAGCAGAGTATGTTATTTATGCAAATTAAAGCTTGCAGGGCAAAAGGGCCAATAGCCCTTTTAGTTCACACGGAAAATATAGAATCTTTAATGACCACGCACATGCAGTACTTCTATTTAAAACATCACACTTAATGACAGTAGAGGCATAATGCTTTAGGAGCATCAGTCAAAAAGGGCTGCAAAATAAGACTGCTGCAATTTACAGAGCATTTTATAGAGAACAGTGCTGCCTTCTGAATGACTCTATAAAAAGAAAGCTGGATATATAATATGTAATAATTGAAAGTTCCTAGGCTACATTCATACCACATCTCCTTAAGCTGTACTGTTCTCATTACAAATTATAATTTGAGAACAACACAAGCGATTCAACATCAAATGCATTATCAAATTATCTTTTGGCTATTTTAACCTCCTTATTAAAACTGTTCTTTCCCTGCATTTACCTCCGCTAGAAGTTTACAGACCCTTTCCACTGTGGGGGGTGCAAAAGGAAGCCAGCATTTAAATTTTTAGTCAGTATTTGATTACTGCTTGATGCAGTAATCAAAATTTTAAAAAAATAACCCTTCAGTACTAGCATGTACCACTACAGAAGTACCATAACCCCAAACAAACAAAACCCCAGGCAAGAACAACCTGTTATTATTGTTTTGACCTAATTAAATACAGCACTGTAAGAGTTGAAGAGATCTGAGATCTTTGACAAACCTGACTGATATATGGCAGTAAAATACTGCATTAAAAAATACTTTTTTTCTTAGCAAAGAGAATGTTGGCATTTAAATACTAAAAAAAAATAAATTATACTGGCTTTTAATGTGAAAAGTGACATGTGACCCCTGCAGAAAGATGCAAGGAAGTATATATCCTTATATTGTGGGAGAGCTGTCAAATAAAGCACCCACAAATGTGTGCCTTTTGAGGCTGGAAAGAAGTTCTGATATCAACTATTTCAAGATGCCTGGGAACTAATGGAAGCTACTCTCAAGTTAGCTGCCACAGCTGACCTGGACAGGAAGGAAATTCTTTAAACTTAGTTCCACCAAACTCAATCAGCTTCTCAGGTCCTGTGGGTTGCAATGGCAGCACGGCTCCTTGTTGAGTGCTACTGCACAGACCTATGCTTAACTCAAGGAAAACACCGGCTCATTTTACACTGAGTAACAATTAGAAGGAAATAACCTTTGGTCTAGGCTAGAAAAATACAGATGACTGATTTCCACTCAACCAGGTAATCCCTGAAGTAAACTGATATATTCGCCAGTACATGATGCAAAATCATTTTGTCCGTATGGCTTTTTGCTTTGTCTCCCCCTTCCTGCAACACCCATTTTTATACTATTGCTTTTATTTATATGCCTTTGTCTTCACTTTACTGTGAACAGAGACATCAGAAACAAGATGTTCAAAGGAGAACTGCTGCATGTGGCTCTCTTGACTAAATCCTTATTCCTTCTCCCAAGGCTGAGGCAGATTTTATCCAACAGTTTAACATCTAAGCGTGTGCCTTCTACGCTCTACTGCTATTTATACCCTCCTTCTCTGAGAAGGACACATCAGCATAAGGTGATGGCGCTGTTTGCACGATGCAAGGAACTGCAAGAGCCTCCCCTTAAAGCCTGGGCAGAGCCCAGCGGGACTACAGCGACCGGCAGGCCGTGCTCCAAGCCGGGCTCCGCGCTGCCAGCCCGAGCGGGCGCCTGTAAGCGGCACACAACAGGCGCACTGCAGCTCCGGGATCACCGGCAGCACCCACGCGTTCCGCACACGGGAATCCAGCGAGTACATCTCTGCGACACCCCCACAAACAGGAAAGGGGCACAAGCACCTGACACATACCAGGCATTATTACTGCTGCTGGGGAAAGCATATCTAGGCTGCTTCCATCATCTCCTGTATTTCTCTCTGAGCCACGGCTGCTACAACTTACAGTTATCTCGCTTTCTCTTCAACCAGACATTCATCAGTGCAAAGTAATTATTCCTAGTTCTTATCCCAGAGTGAAATTGAAAAGAGGGAAAAATCAGAGTGGGTGTAGCTGTAAGGAAAGGGCTGTGAATAGTTCTCATCTCAAATGTTTGTTCAGAGTTACCTGACTGTATCCCTTGCCCATACCACTCTGCCACAACTTCTTTTTTAATACAGGACCCAAATCCAATCTCCACGGCTGTCATATGAGAAGCTCAGAAAAGCCTCGTTGAATCATGCAGTAAACAAGAAGCACATGGAAGTTTTTGAAGCTTTTAAGAGTGCCTAGAACACATTCTCCCTTCAATGAAGAAGAAGCTTCATTGCAAAGCAGGTATTTTGAGCACACTAATAAGCAACTAGAAGATCTTCATAAAAACAATGCTCTGTTTCAAGACTGGGCCTACAAGTCAAACAACAGTATCCTACAATTACTTAAAATTAATCTCCATTTTACCTTCTTAGTAGATTAGTCAGAAACCTAGAGAGAAGTAGCAAACAGTTCTAAGGTGTGACACTCTCATTCTTTAAAGTTTATGGATTTTTTTTTTCAAGAGAAGATTAAATTCTAATAGTAAAACTGTTTCACATAATATAAACATTCTGATGTAATAATCAAAGGCTCTGTAGTTCACTATATGCTCAGGCTTCGACTGATAAAGAGGTAATTTTTCCTCCTGATCAGGAAACAGATTCACTTTATAACCAGCTCCACTGCCAGCTCCACTGACTTCGAAACAAAACTAATTCCTGTTGACCAGCAGTTACATTCTGTACTTCCCTAAGGTCTAAAAATGGTATCAGTTCAAAGGTCCATCCTCTCAATTTGTTTGTCAAGCCAAAGTATACAGACTAAACCAGAATCTGCTTCTACATGCCCTGTACTATAACCACCAACATAATTACCACCTCTCAACTATTGTATGAACACATATGCAGAAATATTAAGATTATACAATACCATTTAAGCAAAATAAAATGATCCTGTATGATCCTTCTGGACATCTACAGACAGCCTGGTTCATCTGAAAGACTTATTTCTTGTCACAAGAAGGAAAGGTCCTCCAGGTCAGGCCACTCCTGCAATAATTTGGAGATGCTCTATACTTTATTTGGACAGCCAACTAATTTTCAGCTACAACAGTAATTTGCCATGTTTTTCCCTCTTGGTATGTGCCTAGTCACACTGCTTTTGGGATTTGTAAGTAGGCAGTTTGTAGGCTTAGTCCAAAGAGTCCCTTTTCTACATGTTCACTGACATGGAAGGTGTCTCTGCTCCCACTGAATCCACGGGAATGACTCTGACTGTGCCCTAAGAGCCACACCTCCAACAGGAAAGAAAGATACGACCACCTGTAAATCTCTGCTCTTTCCCAGCATAGTGCAAGCTCGCATGTTACAGGAAGTCTATACAACGGAGCGTGGGGTCTCACATTCTACTATTTCCAAACAGGCTCCGAAGTATTTTGGTTTTAAATGACCACTTGCTGAGATTACAACGGGCCACATCTTTCCCAGGCCCCACTGACAGCCACCAGGTCGTTAGGAAAACGAATGGCTGCCGACACGCGGAAGCGACCCCTGCGAGCAGCGAAGCAAAGAAAAACGGAGACACCAAAGGTATAGACGCACGTCGCGGCCCCCTCCCCTCGAAGGCCTCCCGCAGGCTCGGGGAGCTGCCAGCCCTGCCCTGCGGGGCCCGCGGTACCTGCGCGGGGCCGGCAGTGCTGGCGGCGCGGCGGCTCATCCCGCGCGGGGCCCGCTCCGCCGCCGCG